ATATGTGTTGAAAATCCGTAATAAACGTTCTGTTGCCTGGTCCTTGTCTTCTGTTGTTACATTTGGTGTCGCTGCCTACCGACAAGTGGAAAGGCTATACCCTGCAGTGTTTGATGAAGACATATGGATCTTCGCGCAGGACTTTGAGGCTTCTTCGCAGTTGAGTGGCGTTCAAGATCTGTCAGCGATGAGGCTGCTACTTGGGACGCTGCTGTGAGGTCGGGAGAAAGCAGCATATAGAAATGAGAAATGAAATACCTACGAATGTGCGACAGGGTCAGGCAAACAGTTTCCAAAGTGGGAACGACCATATATGGTCACGTTGAGATGTGGTTACGCAGACACAATCGCAATGGTAAACACAGAGAAACAAGTGAACATCCGAAAGCGCCGAGATTCCAGACAGCAAGACAAAAGAGCAAAGCCCCGAGAACCGAGAAGACCGAACCAACTTCAGTCGCAAGTCTTTCACGGGAGACGAGTGTGGTGAGAGATGGTTGCTAGCCAAATTGGTTGACAGTAATTGAGGTCAATGTTTATGTATCAAATATTAGTCATGTTGTGGTGAGAGATGGTTGCTAGCCAAATTGGTTGACAGTAATTGAGGTCAGTGTTAGTCATGTGAAAACAAGGTCAAGATGGACAGGCGGATGCAGTTAACATATAGATGAACTGACACAGCCACAAGAGAAGCAAGGTTAACTTTGTGTGAGAAACAACCAATCAACAGACTGTATTTACTACTAACATTAACCTACAATAATGTACATCAAAATCTATAAATATGTGTTGAAAATCCGTAATAAACGTTCTGTTGCCTGGCCCTTGTCTTCTGTTGTTACATTTGGTGTCGCTGCCTACCGACAAATGGAAAGCCTATGCCCTGCAGTGTTTGATGAATACATATGGATCTTCGCACAGGACTTTGAGGCTTCTTCGCAGTTGAGTGGCGTTCAAGATCTGTCAGCGATGAGGCTGCTACTTGGGACGCTGCTGTGAGGTCGGGAGGAAGCAGCATATGGAAGTGAGAGGTGAAATACCTACGAATGTGCGACAGGGTCAGGCAAACAGTTTCCAAAGTGGGAACGACCATATATGGTCACGTTGAGATGTGGTTACGCAGACACAATCGCAATGGTAAACACAGAGAAACAAGTGAACATCCGAAAGCGCCGAGATTCCAGACAGCAAGACAAAAGAGCAAAGCCCCGAGAACCGAGAAGACCGAACCAACTTCAGTCGCAAGTCTTTCACGGGAGACGAGTGTGGTGAGAGATGGTTGCTAGCCAAATTGGTTGACAGTAATTGAGGTCAGTGTTTATGTATCAAATATTAGTCATGTTGTGGTGAGAGATGGTTGCTAGCCAAATTGGTTGACAGTAATTGAGGTCAGTGTTAGTCATGTGAAAACAAGGTCAAGATGGACAGGCGGATGCAGTTAACATATAGATGAACTGACACAGCCACAAGAGAAGCAAGGTTAACTTTGTGTGAGAAACAACCAATCAACAGACTGTATTTACTACTAACATTAACCTACAATAATGTACATCAAAATCTATAAATATGTGTTGAAAATCCGTAATAAACGTTCTGTTGCCTGGCCCTTGTCTTTTGTTGTTACATTTGGTGTCGCTGCCTACCGACAAATGGAAAGCCTATGCCCTGCAGTTTTTGATGGAGACATATGGATCTTCGCACAGGACTTTGAGGCTTCTTCGCAGTTGAGTGGCGTTCAAGATCTGTCAGCGATGAGGCTGCTACTTGGGACGCTGCTGTGAGGTCGGGAGGAAGCAGCATATGGAAGTGAGAGGTGAAATACCTACGAATGTGCGACAGGGTCAGGCAAACAGTTTCTTCACTTTAATTGCCAAACACTATAATTTCGTTCAAGGAATACTGGTGTTTTGGATTTAAAGTTGAAGAACGTACATAGCTTTTATCGTTTCAATCGCTTAAGTCTTCATTACATTTGGAAATTAGGGCTAAGTTCCGTGACAGCTAGTGTAACTGTTGTTTGTTTATAACACTATTACATCATTCCATATTTCCTTCGTTTCGATGTGCATGGTGATCACAGCTCACGCATGAAATTTGTCATCATCTTACGTATTTATAATTAGCCATCGTAACATGAATGAATAAACCGGACTACTTCGCCACCCTTCCCATAAACCTTTAAAAATTGTAAAAATTATAATTGTCTGAATTATTTAACTCTTCTGACTGCTTCATCTTTAATTACATGTTATCTTTGTAAAATTATTTTATTCCTATGACCCCTTCATCAACCTTAGTTACAAATTATCATTGTCCAAATCGTTTTATTTTCTTTGACAATCTGTTACCTATACAACCTGTGAACACACTTATTCCTTAATTACTTGTGATTTTTCCAAAATTATGCATTATGGAATCCACGTGTTGTAACCAATTCTACCTTTTAATTGTGCGTAATTATTTTCTTCCTGATTTATCACCCCATTGACATTTTGACACTGACTTATTATTGGTAACAAACATACCAGTGCCACCTGATTGGTAAACTGTTGTGTATGGTAATAAAAATGCTATAAATACATTAGAGTAGAGTGAGAGATGAAGATCTAATTGAAAAGCAAATATTTCTTCACTCAATCATTCTGGTAACTGTAATCCACTTGTTCAGCTGCTCACATGCACTGACTAATATTAATTAGCGACTACGATTATGACAAATAGTCATCACTTTTGTTACAGGCCTGTTTCATGGGGAAAATTGCATATAAATAGGATTGTAGAAGCAAGGGGGTAAGGGAATTCCTCGAAGAGAGCCTCTTCGCTGAACTACTTGTCTTGTGTTTTGATAATGTTAGAGGTGTGTGTGTTGGGGCCGGGAGTGAGGAGGGAATTTCCCATGGATTAATTTTTAGTTGTCGTGTTTTATTTTCATTGGTTTTCCATTCTGTTAGTTACAATGCCGATTGTCGTTGGAATGTTAACACGATAATACTGTAATGTTGGAAAAATGTAGACTTTTAATAGAGTAAAAGAATAAGCTCGATTACTAAACATTTATTTCCTCTCCGTTATTCTCTATTGCTCCGCGTGAATCCTTCTTGGGCTGCTTAGGAAATATTTTGTCACATTGCGATGAGCATTCAAAGCTGTCAGTGGTGGGGAGGCTGGGATGTCACCAAACCACCTGGTTAATTTCATACAGCCTGTTGCCTGCATTAGTTTGAATAAAGAAGGCAGAAACATATTTGCAGTTGCAAGATAATACGACCTCGTTTCATTTCGTCGATTCTCTCTCTCTCTCTCTCTTCACTCGTCTACATCCTACACAAAATCAACTAGAAGTTAAGAAATGGTGTCAGAACCTACTTTTCCACGGTGAATTCGAGTTATATCTCAAAGACTAACTATTTAGGTAATAATTAGATAAGGCGGTGGAGTTTACATTTCGCTTGGAAACAAGTATGGACTGGAGACAAAAAACAAGATAGAACGACAGAGTGAACTTATATTTACGTATATATTGTGGTGAAGAGTTGAGGAGGGTAGGGGTGAGTAGTATTGTTAGATATAAAGTCTGCTAAATGAAATGAATTTATCGATTTTATAATTTTACTTCACTATTCACAGCCACATTCCTGAAGTCACCATCAACATATGTATAAATTCACTCTGTTGTTCTATCTCGTATTTTGTGTATAGTCCATGCTTGTATCCAAGAGAAATCAGAACTCCACCTCGTTGTCTCATTACTATCTATATGAGCAGTTACTCTTTTAACACTAAATAATTGTCTATTTATATCATGAAATTAATAAAGAGGTAAGAGGTGAGAGAATAGACTTAGGTCAAGTTTACAGGACATATTCAAGGTCAAAGAAACAATGAAGACCACTAAACCAAATAACATAGGTAATAGTACATCTGCTATGGTATCAAAACAAAATTTACCAATTTACAAAGGAAGGTTCAATGTGATGACGAATTGTTTGTCATATTATTCCTGTCTGGTTAGGAATTCTGCGTAAGGCTTCCGAGGTCCCTTCCTGGTATGGAATTACTACTGATGATTTAGATTCTTTATTGTTGGTGTCGTCATTAATATTATTATTATCACTTTTATCATTATCATTATTATTGTTAAAGTTTGAAGGTTAAAAATTGTTTTTCGGTGAGAAAGTAAGCTGGTAGGGGAGTGTAAGCTTGACAAATGTAAGTGAAATGAGAAAGTGTGTTAATCGCGACAGATAGATAGGGTGTATGATAGACAGCTAATCAATATTATGTGACCCTTTTGTCGCGATTATTGGTTAATTTAATGTAACTCACACCACGTGATGTGACCTTGAGTGTCCTTTGTTTTCTGTCACTCTATTTGTGTACATGTTATTAATTAACTGTTCATTATGTCCGTACCCTCAATACTGTTCGGTACGCTTTTGTCCTTTGTTGAATGACAATGGATTTGTGTGTTTTTCTTGGTGTGATTGTATGATTTATTTTATGTTTTAGAAACAGATAAAGTCATTCTGTTTTTAACTATAGTTAAGCCAAGACTCTGTGTCGTGAGTACTGAGGAAGGACTAAATCTGTAGGCAAAAATAATCCTACAAAGTGTACACAAGGAATATCGAAGAGTGATAACAGTGAATTAGTGAATTGGTTGGTTGGCGGATTTCATCATGAGTTGAAATCAGTCAGCGAAGCATTGAGAAGCCTGAGAGTACTGTGAGACAGCTGTTTCGTCATCCCCAAACTAGGACGAAACAGCTGTCCAGTACTCCTAGTTTTTCCAGTGGTTCTCTAACTGATGTGATCTCATGATTAAATCCTGCATGCATCAAGCAAAAATCCCTACAAAACCAATACTTATGTATATACATATACATATATGTTAATATTCTGTCGGTTTTCCTTTGGGTTGTGGGCTTGGTTTTTTAATGTTTCTGCTGTGTCGTTTGTTTTGTTTAAAATTTTTACTCGGGCAGGATAGTTTTTTTCATTGTTAGGTTTTTGCGGATAACACGGCTTTCCTGGAGCAATTGGACGATTTCTTGTCATGGTAAAGTCCTCTGAATCAGGTGAGATCGAATCTATGGAGGGAGTATTAACATCGGTTGATCTGAATGGCCGCAACATCATGCATGTAAGTGGTGCTCGTAATCATTAGGTGGTTATGGTTTTGAATGTTGTTGTTTTTTTAAACTGCTGGCACCATTTTCATCTAAGAATATTTAAGTGAGTAATTTTCTTTCTTTGTATTACCGTGACTTCTCAGACTTACTGTTATGCATAAATTAAGATGCATTTTAATGCATTGCATCTGATGAGGAATCCTCATAAAGATTTGATTAGAGTTGTTTTTAACAAAAAGTCATTACATAATTGTCCGGTGTTGCGTAATGTGATCTCAGCAAATGTGATTAAAGAAGAAAATAGTGAGAGTTTGATGATATTAGATGGTTGGCAGCAACCGGCAGGAAGCCTTGGAAGCCTCGTGCTAGTTGGCACTCGTCAGCAAGGCTTGTCTGTAACCTTAAAGGAACTCATGTTGCTTCTGAGATTCGATGCTGCGTCACCCAGTGCTGCAGTCGGGCTGACGATTGACCTCCTGTAGGACTGTAGTGGATAGTTTGATTGGACACTAGTAACTGCCGATTGCCTCCAACCATCTGATATCGTCAAATCAATGTGCACCGTGATGTTGAGCCACCTAGAATGGTGGCCACATTGCAAGCCTGACTGATAGAATTCAGTCTGCACAAAAGAAAGGACTAGACGCACAACACTAGTTACTAGTGTCCAGTCAAACTATAGTGAGAGTTTCTCGACTATCTTCATCTTCTAGTTAGTATGGAAAATGTAATGTTAGAATACTTGAATATTATGAAGCGTGATTCAATACAGTCAGTATTTTGATCAAAATTCGTTTTTACAAAGAAAGGCTTCATTGTGTAATTCGTTGATTTTTTTCCCTTTTGAAGTCCAACGGAGAAGAGGATGATGACGTAATTATGATACATGAAGAAATTACAGATAAAGTTATGGTTAAACCTTACCAGAGCAGCAATGGTCACAGTGTTACTAACAATGATGTCCGGTTGCAACTGAATCTTAAGTCGAGGGAAACAAATCTGTAAGTGTTATATTGTTTGTTTATTTGTTGTTGTTGTTAGTGTTTTGGTATGTGCTTAAACCAAAACAATTTTACATTGTTATTCTCTTGGTTGCATAGAACTTCAATAGGTCATTTCCATTTTGTCGTATGTTCTGCAGTCCCCATTAACCCGGCCTCAATATTACCCATAAGTTTTCATTTCCTCCTCACACGGTCTCCTCCTTGCCGCTGTCGAACGCCCAAGTCATCATTTCCCACTCTACCGATAGTCTCCTCAGAGTGTCAGATCCACTTCCGTTTTCTGCATATTTGTGTTGACCAATGGGTTCTTGATTGTTTCGTCACCGGAGTTCGTTTTTGCTAATTCTTTCTCTACAGCCGTCTGACCTACGGTCTGGAGCCAGAGAAGGTAGCTGTTAATAAACTTCTTTAGTGGAAATGCTTTTCGTCAGGCGTGAGTCAAGTTTCTGATCAATTTAGAGGGACTGACTTAACATCGGTGTTGAAAATCGGGATTTTGTTGTTTATGTTGAGTGCAGAAGATTTCTAAACTGATTTCAGAGTGATGAAGGCTGTTCTTGACTTAATCGTGACTCGGCCTGTAGTCGATAAGATACTTTCTAGCTAGGTAAAGCAAGTGATGTCTTTCAAATTTCTTTCAATGATAGTGATTGGTGCTTCTTGTCGGTGGTTTGTTATCTCCACCTCCGTCTTCTCAGTCTTCATCAGAAGTCCTGTATTTGCAGTCACTGTCTTATGCCAGTTCGTCGGTTCCCGATTGTAGGTCTTCGAATTTCTTTAAAAGACATAGATCACACAAAGTCTCCTCGGTCCAACGTACTCCTGTCTGCGCCCTTCTGAGGGTCTCCCGCATAACCTAATCCCAAACAAGTAGGAATAACATCGGTGATAGTTTCCAGATCACCTAGTGGGCAACGCTGTCGGAGGCCTGTTAAAAGCTGACGAAGTTGAGGTAGAGATTTGACTGGTTCTATCCTGAGTTCGATGATTATTCGTAGGGTTGCAATTTTTTCAGTACATGATTTTCTTTTCTTGTATCCAGTGCATCTTCTATTCTCTCTAGGATGACGTGAACTAATATTTCTCTTGCTGTGGAGAACAGCATGATTCCGCGCCAGTTCTTTCAGAGGAGTAATTTGCCCTTCTTTGGTAATTCAACAATGTAGTTTTTCATCCGATCAATAGGTACATTTCTTTCTTTCCTTGCAAAAATTTTACATTAGTGTCGTGAGGATGTCAACTGTAATCTCGTGATCTGTTTTCAGTGCCTCACAAGAGAATTCCGCGTGGTCCTGTTGCCTTCTCCACTTTTAGTAGCCTGAGTGCATCGAAGACTTGTGCATTCGTTGGAGGACTGGTATCCACTGACCAGTTGTTCTGTGGTTGTTGATGGTATTTCTGGATGGATTGTAAGTGATGGTCAGTTGAAGAATTTTTGAAGTGAACAGCCTATTGTTTTCTTCGTTCCTCCTTTTTGGTAATGAGGTTTGGTTGGCCAATTTTTTTATTGTTCTTATCTCACTTCTTTATACACTGGATAGTGAATTGAACTTAGTTTTTCCTTCTGTTGTCCATATTTGTCACTGATGTTACTTCCCGCGTGACTTGTAAGGCGTACATTTCACCCTTAGGTAGATAAGAGGTAATGTTGTTGCATTTTTTTATTGGTATATGGTTAAGTTTTAGAAAGATAAACTTAATGCGTGAGGCAGTGAAGTCGGACTGGATGATCGTATAGGGATACATCAACATATTTGTGTTCATTCTAGACCTACTAATCAGAAACATTGAAAACTGCCTTCGATTTTCATTTTACCTGGAAGTGGCAAAGTTCACTCGGTCAGTTCGGCTTCTGGAGGCCATGTACCCCATAGGTTTGGTGGAATCAGGGTTTTCCAGCTCTGCCAAGCATTGAGGTTGCATGTCCACTATTCCGCTTTGTTTTGGTATTTTCTGATATTTTTTCTCCACTTATGCTTTTTGTATGAACACAATTGACCGTGATGCTATCCTCCTGAGAACCAATTAGTGGTCGGAGGCTGTAGCAGAAATTGGAGGTGTTGAAGAATTATGACTACTCTCATCTGAATTTAGGACAGCGAATGTCAAATCAAATTCACAATATATGAATTTGAAATGAAGGAGTTCCCAGGAAGTATATCGCACTGTATTCGAACTGACTCAGCGGTGTCAGTTCTTGTGTAAGGTTTCCATCTGAAGTGACCGACAGTCGGTGATGGCCTTCAGGAATGCTCACCCTCCCCATTTTTGTACGGGGATGATATTGTCCTCCTAGGTGAAGACTGACAAAATGCAGAGTCTTGTGATTATTTTGGACAGAAATCTTGGAATATTTGGCGTGTGATTCTCTCCTTTGATATGTAATTCGATGCTGCAGGACTGCACTGCACCGACTCCAAGCTTAAATATTGGGAGTGAAGTAGTACAGCGTTTTGGCCACTTAATGGAAGAAAGGCTAGCTGTCTAAGACCGACTCACAACCACCACAGGTGTTTGCATTCTATTTCCCATGTTAGGTGGTATAATATGGTGAATACTAATGAGATTAATCGTAGAGTGTTAGGCAAGATGGAGTAAGTGTATCAATAAGGTTGTGAAGTTACGTGGATTGAGATGGCTAGGGTATGTGTTGGGCATGATGAACCATCGCCTTCCTCGTCGAAGAGGAATGTTAGCTGACATCAGTTTAATTTGGAAAAGAGTTTTGATTGGTTGGTTGAGTCGACACCTGACTATAGTCCGTGACGTTTTTGACTATTACTTTGAGCCAGCCACATAGTGATGTGTAGACTGTCTCACTTGAGTTCTCGGAGTGTTTAGAGGCAATGGTTGGTGACCATTGGATATTTGGCTCAAAATCGTTCTCAGTATCGCGGATGTATTCACTGTTTGCCATCTCGCATATCCAATAATCTCTAGTGATTTTTCCATGTCGCTATTCTTTCTCCAGTACATTTCTGCTAACTGTAGTCTCTTTTGTGTGCTACATGGAGTGGAGTGTTGAAATATGAAATGTTACATTTTTGCGTTATTTTCTTTGTTAAAACTGAATCAATCAATTTTTCTGGATTTTGTAGGATTAGGTTCATCTCGGCAATATAGTCTTCTTTATTGATTAGAACAACTGTCAAACCTTTATCCGATCGTAATATTGCTATTTGGTGAGTATTTTTGAGATGTTTAAGTGCTAGTGTTCTAGTGTTTTCTGGCAGCATACAGCATATAGCAACAATGTCAACCGCATTAGCTTTGAAGACACCAACCAAGCCTATCTATCCTCACTTATTATATATTCTCTTATGATCTGTCAGTTGGTTGAATACATATGAATTCTCAAATTGTAATTCAGTATAAACTGTCTTGGTGAACTTTTTTCCGATGTGTGAAAGTTAAGTCTATTCGGGAGTGTTTCACAATTGAAAATACGAATCAAGTATAAACAAATCTGATGCTTACAAACCGAACTCTTGAAAACTAATATTGTTTCAGAGTGTACTTTATCTTACATTGATTTTATTCAACTGTCTAATCATCAATTTTTATTCATGTTTATATAAATGAAGCAAGAGAATTGTGTGAGTACTGCCTTGATATGATTATGAGAAATAATGAAAATTTTGCACGAAAGGTAGTCATCAGTAAATGTTACTGCATAATATTGTGTGACTTAATCAGAATAAAATTTTATCCATAATAGAATTACCACCAAGGTATGTTAAGAGTAATATGAAATTGTTTTTGAACACACAGTGAGGCGCTGAAATTTACGAATAGCTATCGCTTCAGCCCATTTCAATAAAATATATGGAAACTACAGGACCACAGGTTAAAATGTGTATGGTATGAGCTTGGTGGTTTAATCGCCAAGCCCCTCACCCCTGCCAACTGTGTGTACAGAAATAATATTTTATTATTCTCAACCTACCTTGGCAATCCTTATCTGATTAGATAGATAGATAACCAAAGCTGGTGTTGTTAATTATTCTTATTAATTTTTAAATCCTTTTTGTTGTATTTGTGTATTCTAATCGGTCTCTATTTTTAACATAGTACAAATATTGACTTGATAAGTAAATGTGTAGGGGACCAGATTGTTCGAAATGTATTGCTCAAATACATCACATTTTTCTAATGGAATTTGGGATGACGGCCAATCATCTGACATGCACCTCTACCTCTTAAGCAAGCAGGGAGGCAAGCGAGTGAGTGAGTAGACAAGGAAGCACATAAACAAGCCCCTAGATGACTCATCCTTTGACGAAGAGATTAAGTGTGCAACTGTGGAGATATTTAGAAATGAGAACATCTAGGCATGATTTAACGAAGATTTTGTTTGTGTGTTGTTAATGTTTAGAATGAGTCGTTCAATGGGATTTATTTTTGTGTGAAAATGCTGTCTGTCAGAAGACAGGCGAAAAGTCATCATATGCCACGACGTTGTTGTTATCATCTTGACGTGATTTGACCTCACAATATGCTGTTTGATGTTTATACCTTGTTTACAATTAACTAATATAATGGCAAAGTCTTTTTTGGAAAACCAGTTTCTACTAATTAGTTTCAAGCAGTTTCGATTCAATATGCAATATTGTTTTGTTGAAGGAGGCGTGGTGGCTGAGGGCACGGAGTAAAGTGAAATCATAGATATATTACGGATAAGATTTTATTTTGATAAATCACATAGTGATGCAGAGTAATTAGATGGTTGGAGGCAATCGGAAGGAAGCCTTGGACCTAGGTTCCGTACTAGTTGGCACTCGTCAGCAAGGCGTATCTGCAACCTCGAAGGAGCTCATGTCCCTTCTGAGATTCGAACCCGCGTCTGTATTGGATATTTTTGACTGAGCAATAATTTGTGCTCGAAACGTCATCAGTTAATATCACTGCACAACACTGTGTGATTTATCAAAATAAAATCTTATCCATATTGGAGCTATACTCTGCCAAAGTGACCAAGTTTTATACTTAAATCAATAACTCATCAATCCATCATGATCTGATGCATGAATATATCGATAGTAGCTATATGTAAAGCTGTAATCGGTTTATTGATTTTATTGTGGCACTTTCAACTACTAAGTTGTGACATACATAATACCTCTGATCGACATTTTATCGTTCAAGGGACGCAACCAAAGTTCTACCCCGAACTATTTATTTCAGTTTTCCTGATATACATTACTTAATATAGTCTTCACATTGTTGTGGAACTATTCGGCCAAATCTTGATCAGAGTTTGCATAAACATGCTATATTAAGAGGTTGAACCGCTATTGGATTTTACTTGTGTCACTGAATAGATTTATTTGTTTTCGAGTTCGATCACGATCTGAACTGACATTAATGGTCGAACCAATAAAAACCATGGAGTACTGAACGGCTGTGGCAGGTAAGAGAAAAGTTAAGTGCCGATGACAATGACTCGTATTTCTTCGCTATATATCATGGATCAGCAGAAATTGTTATTCGTGCATTGGCCACTGGATCAGGTTACAGCGACTGAATGATGTACGAGCACACCTAGTAGTACATGGAAGGTACAAGGTTTGCCCCGGTAAGTAAGTACCCAAGAAGAGTCCTACACTTAGACGAAACAGCTATCCACCACTCCATGCGGTCAAATCTCTAACAGTCTAATTCAACGTCTTACTATCTTCTCTCTAATGCATTTTATTTTGTACTAGCCACTCAATTGACTCAATTTACAACCTTCAACTGAGGAGTCAATTTTCCTGCCCTCCATTTTTTTTTCTATTAGGTTGATTTTATTGGTTGGAGGATTTTTTATGTATTTATGTCACCACCACATCACAATTTTTTGTGATTGCATTCAGCCCAACACTTTTGGTCATCCCATAACTAATCTGTTATTCTATATAAAAATATGACCATAAAAAGATAACTAGCCATCTAATATTAATATACGTATGAACTGTGATGAAGAATGGACCGGATATTATATATAATATAATATACTTTATAACAGTAAGAACAAGAAGAGGAGTATCTATTCAAGGGGATGTTGGTCGGGCAGACTGACTTATTTTAATCCATGATTGGATAAGAAAATAGCCCAGTCATTTGAAGGTTGTACAATCTATCATGTGATTGGCTATTGTAAAATAATGTGCATGATAGGGGGGATAGTAGGACTGAGGTGACTGGATCATCAACATGATATGATCTCACCAATAGTAAGTCTGAAAGCCATAAATGAAACATATATATTACTACTAGAGATGTGTCACGATATAACTAGTCTGTTATTGTACGTAGACAGGAATCCATCAGATTACTCACTACTATTCTGGTGGTGAATACTGACTCTACTAATATATATTAAACAATCACAAGACCAAAATTCATTGGAACAAAAATTCTTTACAAGTCATCATACCGCGATATATTTTTCAAATTTAAATCACAGGACTAATCTATGGTGGACGAGTTTATCCAGTTGGAAGTGAGTGTTCCTGTAGTTGTTCGATGAATAGTTAATTGTATTTTGTATTTTCACTTTTTCATTGAGATTATTACACGACCCCACTAGATGACTCACTATACTAGGTATATTTCTGTAGTAGACTGACATTTCATTTTTATATGATGATAATGTAATCTTAGGGAGGTTGTTTATATTAGGTCACACCTGTCGCTAACTGATATTTTACACTAATATATGTGTAAAACTTGGACACTGTGGTAGTAAGTAATTCCATATTAGTTTGTTTATTTGATATATCACACAGTGAAACAGTATTATTTACTGGATGACGTTTCGAACAAAATTTATTCTTCATAATCATATCAATTGTAATCACACGACTTTGACACTTGAGTTTTATAGTTTTCTTTGTTCTCTCCTATTTGTCGTAGGGGTAGAAGAATTTTCCAGATATCCGACTGGACAGGTGATGAATCATTCCTATTACATGTATTTGTAGTTGATTCGATAAACAAAGCTTCTGTTATCAATCTCTCCCTATACCCTGTGACATTAGATTTTAAAACTGTCATCCTATCCCATCGTATTGTATGGTTGTGTGTGACTGCATGTAGTGCTATAACTGAACTATTCTCTAGATTTCTTATCTTATTCGGGTCAACACTAGTGTTAACAGGAAACCCACACACTCAAACAGATATTTGAACTTCCGATCATCCCATCCTATGTCAGTAAAAATAGGATTGGTGAAATGTTTAAATGACAGAGCACAAAAATTAAGTATTACCACAGAAAATCTAAAACAGGGACTGATACACATAAAAGAAGCCTTGGAACCTAATAATTACCCGGATAAATTAGTTAGGAAATGTGTAAGGAAATGTAAAAATAAAATAAATAATGATTGTAGCGGTAGTGGTAATAACAATAATAATGATAATGATAATAGTGATAATAATAATATTAATGACGACACCAACAATAAAGAATCTAAATCATCAGTAGAAATTCCATACCAGGAAGGGACCTCGGAAGCCTTACGCAGAATTCTTAACAAGGCAGGAATAAAAACGGCATTCAAACGCACAAACTTTATTACAAACGAGCTTTGTCGGTTAAAGGATCCTGTAGAGCCTTTAAAACAAAACAATTTAGTTTATCTAATACCCTGCAATGATTGTCAGGTGAAATACATAGGTCAAAATAGTAGAACAGGGGCAGTCAGACTAGCTGAACATAAAACTTAGCAAAATCTAGATTGGTTGACCCGAATAAGATAAGAAATCTAGAGAATAGTTCAGCTATAGCACTACATGCAGTCACACACAACTATACAATACGATGGGATAGGATGACAGTTTTAAAATCTAATGTCACAGGGTATAGGGAGAGATTGATAACAGAAGCTTTGTTTATCGAATCAACTACAAATACATGTAATAGGAATGATTCATCACCTGTCCAGTCGGATATCTGGAAAATTCTACTACCCCTACGACAAATAGGAGAGAACAAAGAAAACTATAAAACTCAAGTGTCAAAGTCGTGTGATTACAATTGATATGATTATGAAGAATAAATTTTGTTCGAAACGTCATCCAGTAAATAATACTGTTTCACTGTGTGATATATCAAATAAACAAACTAATATGATATTTTACACATTCACAATAGTTATTATTTAGTTTCCGTTTGGTTCTGTGATGAGCATGGGTCTTCAGCATTACATCTCCATATTTGTCCTGCTCTCTTCAGTCCTCGTTAACTGGCCCCCGA